CCACTGAACAGGTACACAACTGCCCCATTGAAAATTTCCCAGCCCATACATGTATGATTATACGAGATGTAATGTATTCTTTATTGTTTTTTTTTTTGTCATTACTTGACAGGTCCACACATATGACAGTGAAGATGACAAGAATAATGACAACCGCCAGTGCTGTGGATTGAACCTGGTCCGCCCTGACCTCTCCTGTTGTAACAATGTTGGGTTCAACAGTGCCACCCACGTGTGTGCCGACCGACCGTATCGCATCACCTCATCCTTCAGTGACTGTGGAGACGGAGTGACATGCCCCATCAGCCAGACTGCAGGAGCATTCTGTAACAGGTCAGAGTTACTAAGGGGATGTGGGATTACTTACTAATAGACAGTGGCATTCAGGGAATGTCTAATGCACAAGAGAAACATGGATGTGGTATGAAATTGTTGCCGGTTTAATACTGGGATGAAGTATACAAACCCCTTAAGATTGTCCCAGACAACATCTGATTCACATTTTTACTTCTGGATTGTAGGCTTTTAGGATTGGGACTCCCAAATAGATGACATGTCACTTGAGATTGAACCTGCTACTAACCATTCTCTTGGCGTATGTTATAATCTGCAGGTGTGACTTTAGCACAAGCTCCAGTATATGTACAATAGTGGAAGGGGCATATGAGGGGACTGTCTCCTCCACCCCCCAGCCCACCACCAACCCTGGCATCTGTACACAGGAGACATCAGACGTCTACACTGGTGGGACAAATGTCTTCAGCTTCACAGGTCAGAACTGATTTATTATCTGTATATCTGTATTGTCCTGAAAGCAATTCTGTATCTGTATCAGTATGGTCAGTATAACCGCGCTTTGGCGTAACACACCAACTCAGGTATATTCCAACATTTAACCAACAGTATTTGTGTTTGCCACCAAAAAGTCAGAGTACTTTACAACTTTTAGACTCAAAACTGGTCCTAGAAATCAATGAAATCAACCCGTTCACTAGTGGTACCCAAAACAAAACTAAGCCAAGTTGCATTCATTTAGATGATAGACCTGCCAACAAAGGTTTTGTGGCATGATGATGATACCTGATCCATCAATCTGATTGCTCCTCAGACACCAGTTTGGAGCCGTACACCCAGTATGAATATCAGGTGGTGGTGGTGAATGCTGGTGGGGAGGGAACCAGTGAGGCGTCCCTTGCACGAACACGAGAGTCGTCCCCAGAACAGGTGTCTCCACCTGAGTGGTCTGTTACAGAGGGGGAGTACAATGTCGTCAACCTGGATTGGGAGGAGCCTGGAAAACCCAATGGTAAGTAATTATCCTTGATAAAAAGCACTGCACAAAATATTTGACTTCTAACGTATACAGTGGTGAAAGGTCATGATGGTAACTAATAAGTTCCTGACAGAATGTAAGGTCAGAATGATTTTGTACGTGGCTTTCATGATGCTATTATTTTGATCACTGATGGTCAAGAAACAAAATGGTCTTTTCTGTTTGGTAACCTTGACATGAGTCTGACCAACGTTCATGCAACGTGCCTTTTCCTAGCTTATTCTGAAAAATCAATCATTCTGAAGTAAAATTTTGTACCAGAGCTAAGTGATGGTGTAAGAAGGTGATTCATTAACTGTATAAAGGCATTATGGATTGGGTCTATAGCAGTGCCACTCTCTAGTCATACCTTGTACTTGTAATGTCTAGAATGTAAACCATGTTGTAATGTAAATTACTATGTCTATTTTTCCCCTGTAGGTGTTATTATTCGCTACTCTCTGCTGCGTGCGGATGGTGCTGGTCAGATCTTCAGGCAAGTCTACCAGGGACTGGCCAGGCAGTACCGAGACCTGGGCAACATCAGGCCCTACCAGGAGTATATCTACAAACTGAGAGCCTACACCAGTGTTGGGTATGGGGAGAGTGAGGAGGTAACCAATGTTATACTAATAAACAATCTTCATTCTTCACAACTTATTATATTTCATAATGGAGGATATACAACCAAGATGATGTTTACTAACGTTTAAAAAATACTGTTACAAAATGCAAATCCCATTGGAAATGCGGATGTTAAAGATGGTCTCCAGTACTTTTTAGAAATGAATGTCCAATGTTTTAACGTCCTTGATATGTCTAATGTCTTCCTCTTAAGGTGTTGTTGGCCTAGAAAGGTCCAGATGTACATGTATGACCTAAAGTACACAGTCAGGTGGACAGGAGTCATAGCTGGTAGAGAAACAGACCAGCTGATGATGATTTTGACATTTTTTTTCAGGTGACAGTTGCTACCCTTCAGATGGCCCCTGCTCAGGTCCAGCCTCCTGCCATCATGGCAGTTAGTTCCACCCGCCTCAACATCACCTGGAGGGATCCAGGGCAGCCGAATGGTATCATCCGCGAGTATCGTCTGAACCTGGTCAACGAAACATCCCAGACTGTGTTGTACACACAGATGGACATGGAGGATCCCAAGCAGTACCTACACACTGGTAGGTGAAAACACTGACATACAATGTACGTTTTTAGTCTAATTGACAGTAGTTGTGAAATGAACTCGGCTATGGGGGCTGTACATACAAATAACATTACAGACAGTCTGGCCATGATTTTTCCATTTGAGCTTTCTTTGGTAGCATCTTTACCTGTAGCAGTATTCAGCCCCTACTGTTGTCTTGTATTTTAGAAATTTTTCATTCACATAATGCAAAAACCCTAACATGTAGGAAAATAAAATATTGCAATATTGCAATGTTGATAAAATTTACAACTTTCATATTGCATATCAGGTATCTTAGTATGTACCTTATATTTCTCAAGAGGGTTTTTTTAACAGTTTTGTATTTGACCTACCCTTCTACAGGTCTTGACCCGTACACAGAGTACAGTTACAGCCTGACAGCCTGTACAGCAGCTGGGTGTACAAACTCTGACCCTGCAGTGGGCAGGACAGGACAGGACATTCCACAAGGTAGGATTTGTTTGATAAATGCACAAAACAGGTGCAGAAAAAACATTATACAATCATGTTACATATCATTTTACACCATTTTTTGAAAATCTTCTAACATTCATGGCAGTCCAGTCCATAGCCAAAATCCTTCCATCTGGTAATAAGTTCTGCTGCTTCTGTTTCAGATGTGTCTCGTCCCAGATTTGTATCGGTGAGCTCCACTGAAATTGAGGTGTACTGGTCAGAACCAGGACGTCCAAATGGCGTCATCACCCACTACCAGCTGTTGAGGGACAATAATGTCATCTACAGTGGAGTTAACATGACCTTTACTGACTCAGGTCTCACCCCAAGTACAACCTACACTTACCAGGTAGCAGCACACACCAGTGTGGGGCCTGGCCGAGGCAGCCCACTAACACAAGCAACCCCATCCAGCACACCCGAGGGCATTCCTGCTGCTAATGTCACTGTCATTAGTGCCACTGTGATCTATGCAGAATGGGAAATCCCCGCAGAACCCAACGGCGTCATCCAGAACTATTACATCACTCTGAACTATGGGATGGAAGGAGGAGAGAGAAGGGCTGTTGGGAACCAACTGTTTTTCAGTGTAACTGGGCTGACTCCGTACACGGAATATGAAATCAGGGTGATGGCATGTACTGATGAGTGTGGGCTGGGTCCAAAGGTGTTTGCACGGACCCGTGAGGCACCACCAAGTGGTCAGGAGGCGCCCAAGTTGGTTGCTGTTGGACCAAGAGTTGTGGAGATATCCTGGGAACCACCCCTGCAGGCCAACGGAGAGATCACTCGTTACCAAGTGTTCAGGAGGGAGTTTGGCACCAACCAACGACTGCTTGTATTGGAAACAGCCCTCAACCAAGAAAGAAAAGGCACTGACACCAACCTCCAGCCATACACTCAGTATGAGTACAAGGTGGTCAGCAGAAATTCCCAGGGAGAGACAGAGAGCCCTTGGACACTTGTGAGGACTCTTGAAGATTCGCCATCTGGAATGCAGACTCCCACTGCTCAGGCAATTGGTGCATATTCTATCAGCATCTCTTGGGAACCACCAACCACACCAAATGGTGAGATATCACAGTACATTGTCCAGTACCAAGAGCAAAGCAATGACCCCACCCTTCCAGAACCCATTGTCACTGCTGTTACAGTCGCAAGCCCCAGACAGCAGGCAACCATCAGTGGCATGAAGCCATACACAGAGTACAGAGTCCGAGTCACAGCTGTGAACAGCGCTGGTGCCACGACCAGCCCCTGGACACCAGTCAGAACAGCAGAGGCTGCCCCCAGGGGTGTTGGACTGTTCTCAGTCGTCAAAGCTCCTGATGGCAACTCAATGGACTTGTCTTGGGACGAACCCACTGAGCCAAACGGAGCCATCACTGAGTATCGCATTTACGAAATTGGCGAAAATGGACAGATACAAATGCCGGCACTATATGTAGGAGTGACCAAGGAGTATACTTTCCGAAGACTGACACCATACACAACATACACATTGATTCTTGAAGCATGCACATTGGCAGGATGTGCCCGCTCCGAGAGGCAGGCACTCACCACTGCTGAGACCCTTCCTGATTATCTTCCCAGCCCAACAACTCCAGAGTGGAATGGCACACATGTCGTCATTTCCTGGACAAATCCTGTCAACCCCAATGGGAGAATCATCAGATATGAAGTAATAAGACGACAAATGCCAAGGACTTTAGGCCGCAATATCCGACAAACAGGTGAAAGTGTTGTGTACGAGACCACGGATACAGATGAAGATAACTACATGTTTGTGGACAGTAACCTGACTCCATACACTGTGTATGAGTACAGAGTCAGGGCCCATAACAGCATTGGCTCTGTGGACAGCCCTTGGATCCGTGTGGAAACTGCTCAGGCTGCACCTGCCAATGTTGAGGCTCCAGTTGTAGAATACATAGGCTCTAACGCTCGCACATTGAGGATAAAATGGACTGCACCCGCCATGCCCAATGGAGTCATTCAGAGCTACCAGTTGCAGAGGAATGACAGTGCACCCATCTCTTTCTCGGCAGCTGATCCCAGGCTGTTTGATTACCAGGACCCAGGACTAGAGCCATACACTGTCTACAGCTATACAATAACAGCATGTACAACAGGCGGATGCACCGTCAGTCAGCCAGCAACCAGACGTACACTGGAAACTGCCCCTCTCCAAGTAGAGGCACCTGTCATTGCTGCCATCAACTCCACAGCAGTGCAGGCAACATGGTCGTATCCCAGAATCCTCAATGGAGAGATCAACAACTTTGAGCTCAAAGCTGACGGTATAACCAGATGTTCTGGATTGGTTACCACTTGTGTCGTTGACGGTCTTATCTCATACAGAGAATACGGCTTTGTTGTGAGAGCCTGCACTGGAGGTGGATGTACGGACAGCCCAACCACTCTTGCACGTACTACAGAGGCTCGGCCAACAAACCAGCAGTCTCCGACCCTCCGTGTGCTGAGTTCAACCGTGGTGGAAGTAACATGGGATGAACCGCTGTACCCAAATGGTGTCATACGCCGGTACGAGGTCCGAAGAGATGGAAATTTGGTCTATGACGAGAGTGACACAAGGTACACCGACTATGGGCTTACCCCAGGAAGACAGTACAGCTATACAGTGGAAGCCTTTAACAGTATTGGTGGCACAGGGCCCAGTCCCCCAGCCCTCATCAATACCATAGCAGACATTCCAGCTGGGCTGGACCCACCGACTCTCACTGCTCTATCCTCCACTGCCATCCGAGCAGAATGGATGCCTCCAGCATTTCCAAATGGAATCATTCAGAACTACACCCTGTATGTAGATGGGAGCCCTCGATACACATTAACAGGAGACACCTTCCAGAGAGATGTTTATGGGCTGCAGCCCTACACACAGTATGTTTTCTTCCTGGAGGCCTGCACATTGAAGGGCTGTGTACAGAGTTCTGTTTCTAGGGAGTATACCAGTGAAGCCCCACCTGTTAACCAGGCCCTGCCTGTACTTACACAACTGGCTGATTCTCTTGGTGCTATGCTTGGTATCCAGGCATCTTGGGGTCCCCCTAGTGACCCCAGAGGGATTATCACAGAATACCGACTGTACAGGAGACTTCAGTCCACTTCCAACCCAGTGTTTGTGTACAATGGTTCTGCAGCTGTCACAGTCTACAGTGACACAGACAATTCCCTTCAACCTGCCACATTTTATGAGTACATCGTTGTATCAGTGAACAGTGCAGGCACCTCCTGCAGCAGTATTTTCCAGTGTCCCTGGCAGTCTGTCAAAACTGGAGACTCACGACCAGAAGGCTTACAGGCACCAACTTTCTCCTCTATCACTGGAAGCCAGGTGACAGTGAACATTGCCCCTCCAGCAAGACCAAACGGAGACATCGTGAAGTACGATATCCAGGCCAATGTCTCAGGGGTATGTTCAGTCTTTTTATGTCCACCCATACATTTCTGAATCCATTTACACAATGTATGCCAGTTTGCACTAATTTTCATAGTTGGTATAACATGCTTGATATAGAAAGTTCTGAAATATGATTTTTGTCAGTGACCAGAAGGACCGGATTGATGTAGAGGTAAATGCAGGTAGCTTCTATATAACAAAATCTACCTGTTGCCTGAAATTATTGCACACAAGCATCAGGCATGTGGATTAGAAGTTTAAACATGATCTGCTCCCACATCTTCCACTGTACAAAAAAGCGAGAAGAAGTTGACCTCTCTATATTAGCTCAGTGACTAGAACACTTTGTATTAGCCTAGTGTAGTACCCTTGTATGTTCGTTATGTATGTATGTCTAAGTCAAGTAGTGTATCTTTTGTCTCCAATTTTCTATATTATTATACGTTTGTTATGTGTCTGTTATATCTTGACCTGTACCTAGCCCGTCGTGGCATGAATGTACAATAAAGGTATTGCACAACTGAATTGATAATAATCAAGTTGGAGTAATACATTTGTGCTTGCTTGTGTTCAGGTCCTCCAGGTTGTAGTATCAACTGTCAGGATGCCCTGGGATATCACAAACCTCCATCCATACACCAACTATGAGTTCAGAGTAGCTGTGTTCACCAATGGTGGGTCAACTCTCAGTCCACCAGCGTATGTGAGAACACTGGGAGCTGCACCTACAGGACAGGGTGCACCGAACATACGGAGGAAAGATACTGATGCCATCTACCTCATCTGGGACTATCCTGCCAATAGAAATGGTATCATCAACAGGTGGGGATTAGTAAAAACTTTATACTATCATAATGTTGTTATTGGTGAAATTATTTGTATCTATATAGCTCATGTCTACTAGTAAATATTCACTCAGCTTGAAAAATTGCTTGGAGATCAGCCTTGTAGTCTAGTTTGTCATCACCACTGCATATTTTTGGAATTGTTGACAGAATAACAGACCATACCCTACAGTTGATGTGATTGATACATCCCCCCCCCCAGGTTTGAGTTGCGCCAGCGCCGTGCATGTCCCCTGACCAGTCAGCCGGTCGCCCCGTCTAGACCTTGCACCACCCAACAGGAAGCAGTTGTTTACAACGGCCCCCTGCTGATGTACAACACCACGGAGCTGGTCCCATACACCAACTATGAGTTCATGGTCACTGCCTTTAATGAGCATGGGGAGGCACCGTCTAGCTGGCAGCTAGGGACAACCTTACCTGCCCGTGAGTCCTGCATGACAATACCATTATCTAATGTTCAAACAATCAGCTCACTTCTTTTCCTGTGGTTCCTGTGGTCTAGTTTGAGCCTCTGTTTGCTTATTTGTTTGTTGTGTTTCTGCAGCACCCACTGCTGTGAACGTGCCAGACATGACCAGTAACCAGAGCTTTGTGCATGTGGACTGGAGCGACGCCTTCAGTTTGAACGGGTACCTTGAGGAGTATGTCCTGTTTGATAATGAGGAAATCAGATACAGCGGGCTGAACACTGCTTATGACATCTACAGAAGCAGTGTCAAAGGTGGGGAAAAGGTCCTTCTTTGTACTTTTTTTTCAATGTATCAACCTAACTGTCCATCTTATAGCCATGTCATCCGAAGAGATCATCAATAATAAATTTCCTGTGTTCCCACTAGTGTACACCATCCGTGTTGAAGTCCGCACCGCCCAAGGCCAGGCTTCTACTGTAACAGCAACCTACAACCCAGACACAGGTAGGTCACAGCTGGTACATGTACTAGGATAACACTCCTGCATGGGTGCTCATAAGCTCACAAGTCCAGATATTCAGTTGACAAGACATGGGACCATACTTGGTGTCAGCATTGTCATGAAAATGAAGGAAACCATGTAGATCACCTGTGAACCACCTGTTGTCTTCTTTTTTCTTTCAACTCTCTTTTGCACCTTTTTTTGCATTTTATATCATCCTAATGATACTTTTCTTTCTTCTATTGTCAAACCCCCTCAAGATCCTCTGTGGTCCATCCCTAATTGTTATTTACCCCCGTGTGTCCAAGGTGCTGTTTTGGTCCCCACCCCTGCGACCAGGGTCAGTACACCGTGGTACCACAGTGTGTGGTTTGTGGTCACTGCTACGCTAGTCGCCATGATTCTCCTGCTCATCATCATCGCCCTGTTCCTGCGGAGAGCCGGCACCAGGAAGCCCCCGTATGAACGGCAGCGAGCCCCGCTGGCTCCCAGGCAGAAGAGAAGGACACCCCTGGCTGAGTGTGTGTACCCCGCTCCTGATGGCAGCATCATGGTAGGAGGACATGCATCACTTTAGATATATGATTGAACAGACGATAAGTCTGCATTACCAGGTTGATAAGGTCACACTGATAATTAAGTAAGTATGAAATAAAGTCTTCTAAAAGGTTCCCAGCTGTAACACTAGATTGGCAACATTTCTCGTTAAAAAGCATGCAGTTCTGAGTATTTATAATTGTAAATGGCATTGACAATAATAAACATCATCATAAAGAATAGCGATTAAGGAAAGCTAGATACTTGCAGGGTTCTCACTACAATCATGATGTTTTTCATACCTATTGGTATTGATGGGTAACACCTAATATCTACAATTTGTTCCATTCCAGACAATGCCAGCCATGAGACCACCTACTGCCTCCAGTCGCCACACCCGCAGCATGGGTCGCACCAGCCAGGCTAGCTACTCTCACCTGAACCCAGCATACGCACACATGAACCCAGCGTACTCCCACACCTCCTTACACAGCAGCAGGAGCGGCATGGTGGACCCGCTGGAGGACATCGTCGTGTCTGACAAGCTGTCGGGAAAATTCCTGGATGACGATGATGACGCCATGTGGGACGGTCATGTACCTGCAGATAGTGGCCTGGTCAGTATGTACTCTGTAAGTATCCCTTCTTCTAGTCTAGCACTGTTCTTGTTCCACCTTCACTTTAGGCACTTAGCACTAACGTTAACTGTTAACATTCCCCCCATACCTAACTCACCTTCACCACCATCACTTTAAGGTGTGCTGTTCCTTGACATCTTTAAACGATGTGAAGAAAGTGACAAATGATCCTAGTTGATGATATGATCGAGATTGCAGATATTTTTCTCTAATCTGAGACTCCCAGAACATTACATAATCAATTATCCGTGACAAATATTCATATCAATAACAATAAGGTAAGAACATTGCGACATGAGCAATTTCTGGGGCAAAGCTGATTTGACACTTTGATTGTCCATAATTTGCAACATGCTGAAGTTTACTCAGATTCAGTTTGAATTCCCAATGATTCCTACAAGCCAGTTGAAGCTATTGAAAAACTGAATCTAAGCCCACTAATCATCCCATCAGTTGTGGTAGAACCCCTGCTAACTTGCCGCTTGTCCTTGTTACAGTACGACCCTGATGAGGTGGAGAGCAGTGACGGCAGTGTCAGCTTCCAGAAGGAGCACACCATGTTCACTGACACTCATCTATGAGGGTGGAGGATATAAAAAGTTGTTGTAGCACAAACTTTGAGAATTTTGCCCAGGGTCTATCTGCCACAATTCAGACTTATAAACAGTTGGAGGAGTTTTTGGAAAGGAAAATCCTTCACAAATCTATCCTTAAAAAACTGAGATTGTGACTGCCAAACCCTGGGAAGATCGCTTAGTACTGAACTTGTATAAGAGACGATATTTTTTTACCAGGTTTCTAAAGAATGATTACCTCTTAGAAAAAATATTGTGTGTCCAAAATGAAGTATGTAAGATATTTTTGAAAGAGTGATTGGGAGAGATTTTCAGGAGATTACAAGTCCTATGTGCACTGTTCATACCAGCAAGCCGTTGTATTGTATATTAAATTGTCAGTGATGTCCTGATAAGTTTGCCTTGCCAGTTATTGGTTAGTAGTCACGATTGTTTGTAACAAATTATCACCATGAAAGTAGTCTTATAACATTGGGGTAGTACATGTAACAATGAGTCCCAGTTGACAAAATTATTCCAACAACTTTTGTACAAATGTAATGCAAGGTCAGGAAGCAATAACTTGATACATAAGGAAACTTTGCAAAGGGTTGCCAACTGCACTACCAGAGGTTAACTCCCCAGAAAAGAAATGTAAGGGCTCAAATATGTATTGTAGAAGTTGTCTCCATAATGTTCTTAGATTAGTTTTCCTTTAACTTGAAGCATGGTTTTAGCAAAATCTCAACTTTTTGGACTGGAAAGGAGCAAAAACACAGATTGACAATATAATGTAGAGTCTTCTTTCTTTTGACTTGTTATCAATGTGCTTTTGTTTGTTGAAAACATTGTATGGACCTTTTGCCTTGAACGTGCGCTGTCAGCTGCAATGTCATTACTCCCTAGCAAACTTGCCACTTTATAGCAATACGATGTACAGCAGCATGTTTTTTATGGGTTACTTACAAACAAGCAATGATGCAAAGAACTTATGCCAAACACTTCAACAGCAAACGACAAGTACGCTTGCCACCAAATATTGCCATAGAATACAGTAGGGATGGTTTCACTTCTCACTAAAAACCAGGTTTTCATGGGTATTACTATGTATGTACATTACTCAATTATCTTATATTAGGATCTTGCCATAAGTCAAATTTATCAGAAGTCATCAGAATGATTCCCTGGGGTACATGCTTAACATAAGATGATATTCTTTGACAGGCAACATTTAAGCTTCTTGATGTGTGACATTAATTGCCTTGTATTTAAGGCAATTACCCCAAGCACTGCTGTAGATAGCAGTTTGATCTATGCACCAATATATATTAAGTAACCTGTTTGAAACAGGCTAAACCCAGTGAATATTAAGTTCAGATGTGGTTTGTATGTAACAATTCAATTAATACCTCTTAATTGGATAATTTATCTTTGATATTGTTGTGAATTTTCAACTTACAATGTAGTTAAGACTTGTGTGGTGTATTGAATATGTTTATGAGCTACATGTACATGTGAGTGCCAAATTTTTTACTGTACAAATTTGGTAGTTTCATTTGTTGCATGTCCTGAATGTGATAGAAACAATGATGCAGAATTTTGTTTGTTACTTTGTGTCTGTGTGGAAATTTTGTACAAAGAATTTTGAAGAAATAAAGTGAGATTTTATCAGTTACAAACCTGTGCACAATCTTGTGTGCCAAGAAAAAATTGATATTGATGGCTGCAAAAGCTAAAGAAATGGTTTTCTTTTTCTATCGTATTTACGGAATAATATCTTTGCAATCATGGACTGTACTGGTCCCAGTTAGTCAGGAAGCATAACACTTAATTGCTAACGGTGCGGACAATAAAAAAATAAGTTATTTATTATAATAATAAACTTCCTTTCATCTGTATTGTGACGGACTAGAACAAAAGTAAGGTAGTCTTTTTTGTTAGATGCCCTCTCAAAATTTGTCCTTGCCCCACGATTTTTAGTGCTAGTTTATCAACGATTGGCGTATTTTAGAAACTTGCACTATGCAAATACCTAAGGAATACCTTCCGGTCTATTTGTTCGTGTTAATAATAATCTCAAGGACGCTGACGGCTCAGAGTTTGCTCTCTGGTTTGGTGATAACACAACCTCATTTAAGGCTGGCAAAAGCTGCGCCTGTAGTCCTATAATCATAGAAATTGGCCACCATGCTTCGTACAGTGTGTCTGTTGGCGCTGGCCTCCCTGGCTGTGGCGTACGACGCAGGTCTACGCGGGTCTATTTACTTCGCCATCGATAACATCAACCGTGGCAGCGAGCTGGACAACCAGTTTGTGTTGGAAGAAGTGTTGCGTTCTGGTGAAGAGGTAGGAATGCTCTTTGGGCTGACCAATCCACATTACTAGATTTTCTTCAAATCTTTGTTTGAGCAAACCTTTTCCCGCTCATCTCATCTTCCTTTGATGAACTGCAGTTATAATGTGGTCTAACGTTATCTCCTCACAGATTGTGTCTCGTGTGGAGACCCTACACAAGTTTGCTGTCCGTCTGGCCTACTCGGACTGCCGGAACGGCGCGGCCGATGCGTTTGTAGCGTCACAACGGTGCCCAGTGCAGGATGCGCACAGGGTGAGGGGAGCATTCGTGACCGTCTACGATGTTCTTCAGATTTCAATATACATTTTATGATGATAAGTAGGCATTTATGGCAAATGCAAAACTTACTTGCTTACTTTTCCCAAAACCGTACTAATCACATCAGGATACCAATGGATCAGAAAATACTGGGCAGGCACAAACCCTAGTCTGACCACCTGTTCCGTTCTCCAGAGTGTGGATTGCACGGCTGCCGTGACTCAGGTTCTGTCGGACGCCGGTGTACGCAGGCGGCTTGTCGGTGCTGAGTGTGGGGGAGCGCAAGTCGCCCTGGGCGCCCAGACCGATGAGTCCCTCGGCCCTCTTACCGACGCTGTCTCTGCCAGTGCACCGGGGACTTACGAGGCCGGCACACGGGGCTCTATCTACTTCGCTATTGACTCCATCAACCAGCGCAGCGGGCTGGACAATCAGTGGGTGCTGGAGGAGGTGCTGCGCTCAGGAGAGCTGGTAAGAATCGAAACACGGTTACTGTCGTCACATTGTTCCTTTGGTCTGTTCATTGTTCTGGACCTTAAGGGGCTTAGTAGGGACACGGTTATGGTTTACCTGTTAAGGGTAATATGGGACGTCATAAGGTGACATTGACCATGTTATTGGAGTAGTTGAAGAAATCCATGTGTGCGCAAGATGAAGAAAGCTTTGCGTAAGTCCAGTTCAGGCAGGTGCGTTGCTGCGTTGTATACATCTCTACACCCATTAGTCGATAGATTAGGAGGTATGCTCATGATATGGGGTACCACTTAGATCAACCGTCTGAAATGTTATCAGACGTGTCAGCATGGCGTTTCTTGTTTTTGTTATTCTGTAGGCACTGTAGGTTCTTCTGTAGGTGTCCTCTCTCGATATTTGACAATATAAATGTCCTTACACGTTGCACTCCAGGTTGTGTCCCGGAAGGAGTCTCGCCACAGTTTTGCCATCCGCCTGGCTTACTCCGACTGTCCCAATGGTGCCGCTGACGCCATTGTGTCGGCCGAGCGCTGCAGCGTCCCGGATCCACACAGGGTGAGACAACTTGGTCTTTCATTTTCTGGTCAGATCTACACTTCATGGCTTTATCCTGTATTTTCAAGAGTCTGTAAGACTGATTGAGCTATCATCAAGAACGATTTGAGCTATGTAAGCTGTTGATCTATAGAGTGATCACGAGGAGCTATAGTTTGTACATTTTGCAGATGAAATGCTTGTAAATGTGAAAATGATCACCAGAAGTGAAGAAAGCAGAATAGTACTACTGACTGTACCGAGTTTCACATTAATCTTCTCTTCAGAGTCAAGACTGCAGGGGTACTGTGATCCAGTACTTGTCGGACAGTGGTGTGCGCAGACGCATTGCAGAGCTGGAATGCAGCGCAGCCAGGCAAGCGCGGGACACCGTCCGGCCCGTCCTGTCCGGTAGCCTGACGGCCGTTTCCTTCGCGACCTACGATGCCGGAGTGCGCGGGTCCATCTACTTCGCCATTGATGCCATCAACCGCGGCAGCGGGCATGACAATCAATGGGTGCTGGAGGCGGTGATGAAATCAGGAGAGCAGGTAGATGTTCTGTAAATCATTCTGTGACTCTGAGAGAACCCGAACGCAGGCGATCTCCTCTGGACGGAATTGGGTGTTTGTTTCTCGGCTCGTTTCTCAACAAGCATGACGCTTTGATTGAACCTTAGGCAATGCTAGCTTCTAGCACTGGAAGGTCATATACACAGATTTCACGTGAGCAGCAGCGTAACGATAACACATAAAGCATTTCCAAGAGTTCCATTATAACGCCTAGTTGTTTTTTTCAGGTGTCCGATGGGCAGTCAGTACACAGGTTCGCCATTCGCATCGCCTACTCCGACTGCCAAAAGGGAAGTATGGATGCGCTGTCGGCCACTGTTCGCTGCCCTGTCCCGGAACCACACAGAGTGAGTTAGTTATACAAAGCTTCTACATCACATGTGCGTATATAAGTTACCATCAACTCAATGAGCTTCTGCAGAAAATGTTGCAAGCCTCTGTTTTTTTTTTCATTACAGAGCCAAGACTGTACCGGGTCCGTGGTGCAGCAGGTGTCGGACTCGGACGCCGTCCGCAGGCGGGTGGAGAATCTGCAGTGCGGCGTGCCTACCACCCTGCAGACGGTTCTCGTCCAGGGCTGAGCGGGCAGCGGCAGACTTTCAACAAAATAAACGCATTGATCAATCATGACATAATTTGCCTCGTGTTTAATTTGATGAATATATAGCGTTGCAGACTTGCAGTGTAAGTTCACATGTGAAAAATTGCATTATCTGCATGTATTCTGATTTTAGTCTTTTTGCCATGGAACGATGGTTTCCCAAACTTATAAATTGTACAGCAGGGCAGCAGAAAACTTTCCCGAGTCGCATCTTCACGACCGTAAACACTTCGTATGTGGCTAAAAAAATTCTCAACCCTCCTACATGGTGCTTTTTGTGGGTAGTTGTTTAACGAACGATCATGAAGCAAACTTGTCTGGGTTAGTGGATATTTTATCCACTCTAATAATGGTGAACACTGACAACGCGGCTAATGCAACATAGCGGAATGTTGTTGGTTGATGAGACAGTGACTAGGAGCGAGGCATGCATAATGATTCAGAGACTTCCACTCCGGAAGTTTTTATACCTGTATACCTGCACAACGAACTCTGATGGGAGAATCCACTACATAACGACAGCCGGCCCGGTGAACGGCCATACCCTACTGAGTTTCCGCTGTGCTCAATGTGATTTGGCACGGCTGCCAACGGAACCTTTACACTGCGAACAAACACAAAGTATGTAACTTACTTATCTTTCTTAACTGCGATATTGTTCAACCAAAAACAATATATCCGTATAAGCCATTTGTAGACATTTTCTCCATCCTGTGACCTTTGATATCATTTCATACACAACAGCAGGTGAACTCTCCCCCCGTGGCTATTATTGTCCTATAACCATATCAAAATTAAGTGAATCGCCAATTGTGGGTCAACTTACTGGGAAGTGCCAGCTGGAGATGTTTTCCGTAGGTTGAGGTGTTTGCTACGGCACGATTGTGTCACGAGTTGTGATGTCATCACACGACTCACCGAAGTACTGCCCTTTCCGTTTCTTCGATATGTAAATCATCGTGCTATTTTAGAAAAACCCAAAAGTGATGACATGGTTCAGAGCCAGCTGGTCCGTTTCTCACTGCTTACGTCATACTGCTGTGGACGAACGACAAACACACAGATAAGGTATCTCCACCCCAGGATGTGTCCATAGTCACTAGGAAGCATCAGCCCCGGGTATTGGCTATCTGTACAATTGCAGGGGCTTTGAAACGAACTACTAGTGTAACATACCTAGTAACTCCATACGCCAATAACTGAAGGTTCTTACACATGTCTTGAAATTCTTTTGACAATACAATACAATACAATACAATACAATACAATACAATACAATACAATACAATACAATACAATACAATACAATACAATTTAGTAAATATGGGACCGTACTATACACACAGAATATCACAACTTACAATAAACCACAAACGTGGGGTAGGGCTAGGGCAGTATATTGGGGAACGTTTCTAGGCATCTTTAAGTTAAAGAACTTCGGTGGTTGACGTCCGCCGCAGGAGACCTTTTTCAGAAGTCTAATTTGAGAAGTTCCACCTTGTCTTATGCCGTCAAAAATGTTCAAAATGTTCATCGAGTATTCAAGGTACATTTGTACATTTGTCAAATAAAAGATAACTGCTTTGAAGAGTTTTAATTTGTTGACTTTTCATGTCGTAAGTTCATCACTCATCTTCCAACAAATTGAAGATTTATGGTGATGCCTACCGGCCATATCATTCAGGATGCCCCTGTTGTCACAGGTATAACAACAGCAGTGGAACACCTTCGGCACACCTGTACCATTTGACGCTGCACGATGCTGGGCCTGGTGTGTGTGTTTGGACTGCTCTCCCTCGCGGCAGGGGCGGACTACCCCGCTGGAGTCAGGTACTCCGTCTACCACGTGGTGGACATCATTAACGCCAACAGCAGGCTGCCCAATCTCTATGTGTTGGAGGAGGTCATCCGCTCGGCTGAAGTAAGGGCACATCTACTTAGTGAAATATACTATACTCAAGTGTTACTATACTTCAGTTTATCCGCTGTATTTACTGAATAATCTGTGTTTCGGTTGAATTTTAAAAATCTGCCTACATGTGCGACCACTCAACCGATGAGGCTACAACTACATCACATTCACGTTGTTACAATTGTGACCGTTCTCTATAGAATTACAGAACTGTTTGCGCTGGGCCTTCATTCCTATATTCATACAACCAAACCATTCCAGTCCCCTCAGGATGAGGTTACCTACCAGAAGTTTGACATCAGGCTAGGCCTGTCGGACTGCCGTAACGACCCGCTGATGCCTGCGGAGGAGGCCGATGAAAAATGTGTTGTGAGCGATCACGGCAGGGTAAGTGTTCAGCTCTAACGTTAGATGTTAATTGAAACTTGAACAAGATAAACAATGGCAATGCGACGAAGTAAGTAGCCCCTGACAGTGAGGGACTGCACAACCAACGTCAATGGTGCAAATCAGCAGCCAACACGTGACATACATATTTATGTTGTAAACAAGTGGATACATGTCCCTGTGTGAATTTTAGATATAGCAGATCACACTACACACTTTGTATAGCTCTAGCGAAAGCATTGTAACGTTATAATCCTTATTAAATGTACCATTGTTTCAAGAAAAGTCATACAAAAATTCCTTGGATATCTATTTAATCTAGTATGTGACATGAACTGTCTATTTCAGAACCTGATGTGCTCCTCTGAGATTGTCCAACACAACGCCGTGATCATGGAAGTGGTAGAAGGCTCTGGGAATGTCGTCGAGGACGATAACAACGTCAGGCGGGAAGTCAACTTCATCCGCTGCCGCGCGGACCTGAGCACCGTCCCGATCACAGGCTGACGCCGCAAGCACGCTTATGTCCAGGCGAGGCAGTATATAGGTATCGTGTAGAGAAACCAAAAAGTTTGCCTTACAAGGTCTGCTTGGAGATTTCGAATATTTGCAACGCCAGGACGCGTCCTGATTAAAATAAAAGTAATGAAGATTGCTTTAATGTGTTATTCATTCATTAGTGTCCTTCGCTTTGACGGTATTAAGCTTTCTGTACAGTTAAATGATTTCCCACATACTGGTATAAATTACATGGATATCGGTGATAGTTGCCATAGTTTAGGTCAAAAAGGCATAACATCTGCGTTTTAACTCCACCATGCTAGATGGCGTTGTAGGGATTGAAGCCGGCTTTCCGTAGCCGGCTAATTTTTCTCAAGTTCTTCAATGGTACAGCGCGGAGGTTTCCTAAGTTTCAAAAACGGCGATGCTGTCGCTCTGTTAATTAATGGAACTTAGTAAAACACCGAGGGTATACAAATTTGGAAAAAAAAGGAAAAGCATATGGAGGTGCTGTGTGACATATTTTATCACATAAATCCTTTGTGAACTTTTCCTGCTGAAGTGTTGAGTATTGTGACAATGATCGATCGCCGCGGCCCAGCAGTAAGCTGACTCCGTGCCGTAAACCGGCCACCTCTCGTAAATTTCTCCTGTCTACATTTGAAGAATCCAAAAGGACAGCGCGTTTCTAAAACTGGCCAGCACCACAAACACGTTGGTTCTGGAACTCCCAGGGAATGTAGTGACTGTCAGACGAAGGTAAACACCACCATTAAAGTGACCCTATAACCCCACCAGCGGAAGTGTTGCTGTCAGCTGGGCCGAGGCGGTCTACAGGGTCATCACGGAAAACTAACCTCTCACTAATTCATCAGTGTCAATTAGCGCTGACAACACAAAACTCTATGGCTTTTATTTTCAACACCTTGTTATGGTACTATGATACTTTCTCGTCACTTTCAGTTGTTTTCAGACCATACATGGTATTATAGAAATTTTAGTGAGGTCGATGCAAAAGGCGCTGAAAGGACATGGCCTTGAAGCAGAATTTCCAAGCAGATGTTGGTACGAAAAATTATAACGCTTCCTGAGCTCCCTGCTTTCCTAACAAAGGATGGTTTCACGTCGGTCAGAAAACGGTAAAATTTTCCATCTTAACACTTGCTTGAATATTTGTTACGTAAGTTGACTGGATGAACTTGAGACTTAAACTTCAACCTATCCAGGTTAGGGAAACTGCTACATGATCATAACACAGCCGGTGACCAGACGCGGTTCTTCAGCGGGTGGAACATGTCTGTCAGGACCCTGGTGCCAAACTTTTGGCACGGAGGTTTCTGTCTTGACGTCACAGTTTCTGTGCGCGGGGAGAGCAAAGAAAAGGAACACGTAGCGACAGTTGGTGCACAGCCAGTACAGCGCAGCCCCGCGGGAGTGTTCGCCAGACTTGATATAAAACCTTTTTGAGTTTTCGGCTACTTCAACATCATTTTAATTTTACCTCATAACGATCTTTTTCAAGACAGACCGATGATGAAACACATGATTCACTTGAAAATGAAAGCCTATCAAACACCATATAATAATACTGAGTCCGGCCGTGGTGGGGAATTAGGTAACGTGAAATTCGTACATTATTCAAACATGTGGAATTGAGGCTAGCTCCTTCAGGAAAAAAATCGAATACTGTCACTCGTTCGTTGGTGATAAATGAACGCCCATCTCCTTTCGAAAAGCAGGAAAGGTCACATTTCTTTACACTAAGGTCCTAGTCACATACCGCCAATTCAACACGGCCAATGGCCCACAACGACTCGTAAGCAGCATCATTGGCCTGAATCTGGCACGCATCGGTTCAACAGATCAACAGAAACGAGAGACATAGAGGTACATGGCAACATTTTCGTCACCATAGAATTGAGTTTTTCGTTAGGTAAGTACTTAGTCCAGAAAAAAAGTGATCAGATTTGGAGACCATTCTTGATTGTTATTCCGGCACATGAACTACTTATCTCAAGGATTACGTGTAATAGTCTTCAACGTTGAAATTTCTGGCAGGCCTAAACTCGTATGCCCGGAGATGCAATGGAAATGCATTCCTTGACCACTGCAAAGGCACACAGTTCGCACCTGACCTGTCGTATTTTGGATTTTTTTCATCCGAGTCAGAAATCTGCCCTTTTTCCACAGATGTTGTGCCTGATGTTTTAATAAGGCTATAAGATAGCAGCAGTCGAGACATGATTAAGTTGGTGTTTGTTGTGTGTTAAGGTTAGCGCGCTTCCCCTGGAGCTGATGTCATGGGATGCAGCAGCAGACGAGCCGGAAACGTTTAAACACAGGAACAAAACGTTTTTGTAGAGTCCATATTGGTTTAGCCTAGACACACGTCTTTTAGTCACAGTATATATAGGAAGAATTAAAGCATTATTTAAACTGCTAGGAACACCCATCAAAGTTACATACATGCAAACTAATAGACCACATCTGAAAATGAATGCCCCATATATTCATTATGAAACACAGTTGTACGAAATGTCCAATGAACATGCTGCAAGTGGGCAGTCGTCATTGACTAATACATGTAGAACATATTGTATAATTTTCAATGGGCCTAGTGGGACAAGCTTTGCGGTGACTATTTTCCTTCATCCGATGCCCGACAGAAACCACGATATCAATACTTGCTACTAAAAATCACGATTAACATGTTTTTCTAGTGACAGGATCGTTTTTTGGCAGAGCGTTTGTTACCTTTAATCGAGACAGTCCCGACCAAAAGCATCTGTACATGAAAATGTGCTTTGTTATGAGAGGACTGAAGATCACACAGGTGAAGTTTCGGTAAAATGTCAGGAATGACAACTCCATTCCAAGAAGACCCACTTCTGCAGCGAAAACAAAGCCTGCCTGCCAAACTGAACCTCCGTAAACCTGTGGAAATCCCCGGTAATCCATGTCTCATCCACGGGACTGAGGTAGTCTGTTCTGCGCAGATGTGGGAACCCAGTCATACACTTCAGCCAACCTTTGTCACAAATCTAGGACACACGTGGCGGTATTTTTGGCACTTTTCCGCCAATTTCCTTGGTTTCCACGGAGTTACTATTTTCAAAATTTCTTTAAACAGGCACGAAAGTGAAAAAGACCAGTATAATCTTGAACCGAGGCCTGGTTAAGTATACAGAGAAATAATAAGCCACGCGGGATAAAACCAGCAGCAAATTGCCAAGGCTCGCGGTGGCATTCCTCAGCTAACTAGGGCGGAATCACTGCGGGGCGGACTTTAACACCGCAAGTATTAAACGAGTAACAGCATGAGTCACAGGTTAAGGTCACTGTAAATCGGACAGTCAGTACCAATTAGCGGTAAGTGGCAGTGTGTGGGCAGGGAGGAATGGAAGAAAAACACGGATTTGTACCTGAAGTTCGCCCAATATAGACGGACATATTACGGCACCTGGCCTATTCCATCTTGATGTTCAAGAAGGAGGACACTGTTCAGTTTTGTTACTTCTCAAGACGTAGAAGCGAAGACTGAAAGTTCGCACCTCCCCGCGGTGCCAGGGGCATGTGTAGAAACTCCTGCCGTTCTAAGATTGTGGCGTGACGTCACTGAGTAAAGAGGAAACCGGTCACATTCCTGGCGAGACGTGGCCGCGGAGTTTGTTGACCAAGACGGTCACACCAGTCTTAAGATGCGCTTTCTGTTTTCTCTCTCACTACAGAGGAGACTTGGCACAGGTCCTTCTCATTTCCCCATCGCACGCACGGTAAAACTGGACTCACAATGTTTATGTTGGACACATGACAAAAGCAACACAAAGCACAAACTTGGGAGCTTAAATAATCAACTGTTCCTCCTACGCGGTAAAATATTTCATTTATCTGAGCTGACGTGTAATGGAAATACACAACACAGCAAGATCTGGTGTGAGACTGACCATTATACACAAGGACGCGGACTACAACACGACAGACTCGAGACAACCAGACTTATCGGATTACAAAAAAGCAGTCATTGCCAAAAGCTTTAAGTTTCATGAGCAGGACTATCGAAAAGTTGAACGTGGCAATTTCCATCAAACTAGGTTGTCAGCCGAACTAGGTTGTTCCGGTCACTAGCGGCACTGATAAGCCAGTTCGCCGTAGTCAATTAGACTTTGGCAGTCCCTACCCATGTACGATCATGTACCGAGCACCCGGCAAAGAGGCTGACCAAAAGGAACTAAAGGGCCAGCCACAAAAACATTTTTGTTCCCCCTCCTGGTTTTGATGAGACAACTGAGGTTTCAAGTGCGGTTTTGATGATTTGCGGTTTAGGCCGAGTTCCCGCGCATTTCCCGACCGTACGTCTGTAGACCCGCCCTGTGAACGCACATTAAGAACAGCAGTCTCGTCAAATGCCATGTGGCGAATGACACCGATTCGAGAACATGTGTACAAACTAACCCTAATGACTGGGGGTCGTGCCTATGATAGAACCATGCCCGGGTTGCACCACATATCGATAAATTATGGAGTCCTTCCATACGTCGTTGAATGTGTAGAGCATAACTGCAATGCATACTTGCACTAAGGTCACATTGTATTTGTAAACGGTTGAAACAGCACATATGCATCGGACAAGCCTGCTTTTAGCACAAATATAAAACTTGCAAATGTAAGGTAATTGTGATCTCAACATGACAAGCTATTCCGAAAAAAAAAGAGCCGTCTGGGATAGATCATGTTCCAACTTTGTGAGCAAAATGACCCTAATACCGTTTTCTGTGTTAGTCGACAAACCCATGAAAGCCCTTGCAGGTTTTGACATCGGCCTTTTAAGTCGTCCCGACTGCAGCTCTCTCCAGTCCCTTGCCTGATCGGTGTCCGTTTGCACTATGTGACAGTGGAAACAGATATGCAGCATTTTATTTCATTACGTATGTCATTTTAGTTGGGACCAAGGTCATAGAAAAGGGCTCTAAAAGTATTGGGTATCTACTGACTTTATATCAAGGTTTTTCGAACCAAGTATCACAACAGCTGATCTGTATCAATAATTCCTATCAAGGTGCAGGCCGCGCCACCACGCGATGCCGACTGATCACACAAAAATATTTGCTTGTTTGTGTGGTTCTCCAACATGTTGATTTGACTGAAGTGACATGACCTAGAAACCGTCTCTCGCCTATGACCCAAGGAAAGCACGGTGAGAAAAAAGAATTTTCTCCAATGGTCTCCAGTGATATCACCAGGGTTTGCAGGAGGACTGGCCATGAGAGAGGGACTCAGCTTTTAGTCTTTATTGGAGGACTGTGATTAAAATAAAGTCATCTCCTGGAGACAGGGGTTTCCACCAGTAGTATCACAGGGTCACCTGTGGCGTCCCTCATGTTCCGTCATTGCTTCACCTGAAAACTTCCAAACCTCAGAAAGCTCAGCCCAAGGCGTTGACATATAGCAAGTTCATAACCCCATCCCCTTCTTGATACGCTGAAAAAATACATGAAAGTCTCCGGTAGGCCTCCGCGGCACACGCATATAGACATAGACTAAACTGTCGGCCAGGCGTTCCGGGACCAGGAAGGGATTCCCCCGGCCATCCCGACACCTACATCTGATCCCAGCTGCACGTCTGAGGGTGAAGATGTCACCTACTGCACACACAGACGGGCGGGAGCTAAATCACCAAGACGCAAACCTCTCCTGGACTGATCCATATGGAAAATTTCAACAGGGATGAACTGGGTCGCGCTGAAGACCGTGACCCGTTTTATGGCTCCAATATTTTGCTTGTCCTGTTTTATTTCCTTTTATAGACAGACTCATCAAGAAAACGGTACCCTCATTCATGCAATCGTCATATTTCCCATACTACATACATGTAGATGCCTTTTAGAGCCTCCTTTCTAGGGGCTCTAAAAGCCTCTTATTGTTCACGGCATAGAACGCACAACGTTGCTCTCATCAAGCTTACCGATGGCAGGAACAATTAGCAAAATGTATTTTTTCTATTGGATCACTTGGCCAGTTTAAGACGCCTACGCTATATGGAGAAAATGGACTAGTGGGATAAAGAAGCTTCTTCCGGTAATAACTCGATTCGATATCATCATCATCTTAACAGATTGGCCAACAAGACGAATGAAATTATCATGAACATATACAAAAAATGTACATAGACATTAAAAGAAACCTGTAACCAACAAAGAACATTTTTCTAGTTCATTTCAAACTCGAATCCGTCCACGTGGACCTTCCGGTATGCCTTTCCAACTGAAGCTTGGGTGAGACTAGGGTGCAGACAAAATATCATTAAGTGTTAAAGCTGTCCTATCACTGTGCTGCTTACCTAGAACTGACACATCTCGTGTATCATAACCTGTCCCGTCAATCGAGAGCAACTTTGGCTCTTTGACCTGTCCTCAATATCGTCCTACATCTGCTCCGACACCGCTGATGCAAAACAATAATAGAACAATCATGGTTGTCATTTTTATTTCTTCCTGCATGGGTTGGATGTCTGACATTACTTGATAAGTGGACTTTTTGCAGTACTTAACATTCAGTTCACGGTCTCAGCAGGGTACAGCTCCAGTAGATCCTCTAATAGTGAGTGTCTGGGAGCGCGGCGCAGACGTGTTTTCCTGGCAGGCCAGGGAGCGTGTTTTGGCAGAATCTCGGGGTCACTTGTGATCAAATTGTAAGAAGCCGTGGCACGTGCTAAGGACTGACGTCGCCACCCAGCTATTCCCCGGACTCGCCTGGCACGACCAGCACAAACAGTCCCGCGGCCCGACATCATTTCTTCACGGATCGCTGCAGGGAGAAGACGAGATGGCGGGCGCCGCCGGGATCCTGGCCGCGGTGCTGTCGGTATTGCTGATTCCTTCTGCCCACGGAGCCCAGTACCGCTCCGGGGCCGTGACTTTGCGGACAGACGACGGCGTCGTGCAGCAACTGGCGTACTTCGCGGCACAAGAACTCAGGGCGCAACTTCTACGTGTTACCAGCGCAAGTCAGCAGGTAAGAGGAAACGATCGCCCTCATACATGATTCAGGGTTGTAAGCTTAAATTCTGAAAGAACCTTAGCAGGAATAAAGTTTACTGCCTTCTAGTAGCTATACTGGGAGAAAAAAGGAGTCTGATATTATTTCGCATTTTAGACGCGTCCGACGCTGTCTGTGTGCCGGCGCTGCCGTCCCCGCCCCCTGTGTGCAGTGGGGTGATATTGCTGTATGCCACGCGGGTGTGAAAGTCGTGTTCACTTTCAGCTCTGCGGTCAACAATATCTGAACTATGGTAGGGTACTTTCTATTCACACGAAGTTTAGCAAAAGTACATTCACAGAGGGAGGAAAGAGGGAGTCCGGCAACTTAACGATCAAGTCGTGATTTTCCACACTGAACAAATACCACGCATCGTCAGTAGGGAGAAGGCAGTGTTTGTCCGCCTGTGGGCGATTCCATTCTCAACATACGGGGCTGGGTAAGGCTGGGTACCTCTGATATGCCAGTCTGAATCAGGTCTTGCAAACAATCGAACAAATGTGTACATTGGCTAAAACTAAATTATATCCAACATTTCTCTGATTGTATGTGTAAACTACAAACGACTATGTGTAAGTTTTGAGCCAGGAGGGGCAGGAGTTCACACAAGCATGAACGAGGAAATGACGGCACACGAAATGTGACCGGAGACTGCGTGACTGACAGTCTGACCGTCCGCTGGAATTGATAGTTCCATAACTTTTAGGTAAGAAAATGTGGGATATGGGGAACCCAGTGGCTCTGCCCTTCATTGCCACAGCGTGCATGACGGTAGAGTGATGGTTCTAAAGTAGGGTGGTGATGTCTGCCCATCGTCAGACAGGGACGGTGAATATAAACTAGTCCGCAAAATCCTTTCTTTCTTTCTTTACTTAGAGTTTAAGTTTTTTTTATGCATGTTTGTTTGCTACCCGGTACCGTAAAATAGTATGGTTACTGTGAGTGTCTACGTAAAAGAAAGGTTTTAGATATTGAATAGACAAGCATGTGGCGACACCTTTGAGAATGTAATCGAGCTGACGGGTGGAAATCCAGCGAGGGAAGTGCTGATCCCTCTGCAGACATAACGATGCCAGGAGACGTATGCATAGTATCGACTACAGGGACAAGTTATCCTTTGATCTACAAAATTAATGTATACAATCCGGTTAGCCAAAGACAAGTCATGCATGTCCGTACTTGTTTCTTCAGGCCTATTTATACACAGCATCATTCTTTCAGCTTCAGCAGAGTTCATAAGTCGCTCGGATGAATATCGGCTGACTAAGTCCTTTTTCGATGCAGAATTATTGAAAAATTCTACACGATTTCTTTGTATTCTGAACATTCAATAAAATTTAGTCTTATATTCAAAGGGCTGTCGAAAAAATAACACTTCTTGCTTTAGCAGTACCTAATACCTCCATCTTTTAATGTATTTTTGTACATTACCTTAGTCTTCCTTAGAGATGCTTTTCTATACAAGTAATCAAGTATCATTTAGATTAATAAAGTTAACGTAAAATTGAGTCCAATAGAGATGTGTAGTTCTGTAACTATAATAACAATTTCTACTGGCGGTCAGGGTCTGTACCGTGTAATGTGTTGTGCAACTTTGTTGAATATTGTCGTGACCCTCGGTACTGACCCTTAAAGCGCTGGTGGTCTCTTGGTTTCCCAGAAGGTAAATCATTTCACGCCAATGCACCCAGCAGTCCTTAATTTATCACAATCTCCAAACGTTCGGTCTGCTAATGTAAAGGAAAAGGGCCAGCCTTTTAGAGCAAAGAGGGTCAGCTGTGAGGGGAGTGGAGGAGTAATAAGGGGTTACCCAATGGGTCAGCGGGAACGTTTGGACCAGTGGCCAGTTAACACAAACGTCAAAGCGGACAGCAGCAGCTATTTGCCAGTTTGGTGCTGGGTCCTTTGCCGAAACCTCGGGAGGACACTCTTCAATGTGAGAACCAGATGGAACCCTATATTCCAGTAGCGTGAAAGGAAAGGAAAGGGTAGTAAATTATTTTCTGTATACTTACGGTCTCCACTTTCAATGTTTGGAATTCTGTAAGTTGAGAGTAAGGAAAGCCTACACAAAGTCCAGTTTGTCAACGCTCCCGCTAGTGTAAGTCAAAGGCCTGAAACCCGAAACACGTCTGTTGGTAAATGTAAGGCGGAGGCGTATGATTCTGCTAAAAATTGCCGTAAGTATGAAAATGTATACAAACGACTACGCAGTGTATAATCAGACCCATCATCACTGACAAAACTACCAGCAAAATCTTGCTTTACACATTCTAGAAAGTAAATCCTGGCATAAAGGGAATACATTCTCCGATTTAAGTTTTCCAATCCAGGTCAGATATGACTCATACGTGTAGACCTGCAGCGTAGGCTAGACACTATGCTTTATGTATAGAGACTCCATTTATATTGACCCATTGGGACTAGGTCTTCTCCTTCTGGCTCATCCGGTCACCATCTTTGTCGCAAGGTCAATGCCACTAGGAGAGGAATGTCTTTAAGACGTGAGGGGTTACTTCTCCCTCGTGAGGAGTGTGTTTGCGTTGGACGGTACATTTAGTGCGCGCGGGATTGGCTGGCGGCGGGGCAGAATTCCAGCTATTCAAGGCGCAGAAGGGTAAATCTGAACATGTTCCCACCGGAGAATCACTGTGTGCGTGTGGCCCACTTGTGATGCTTCTGTGCAACGATTTACAAAATATAACAGTATGTGAATGATTACCACAAGCATAATATTCTAATTGAGATAAAGTTGTTCTAGGCAATCGGTAATTACCGAATGAAAACACAACAAGCCGGAACTGTAGACAGAGCCCTTATTCTCTCATAGAGAACAAATAACGAAGACCTCACATTATGTCAATATTCCAAGCCTAATGACAGCTGACATCAATAATAATGTTGTTCCTTCTTATGGTTTATAACATTGACATCTGGGTCGACAGGTGTTGGAGTCTTTACACTACTTTTCTGTTATCTCAGCATTGTTTTTCCTCTCGTCTGAAGCGTTGGAGAATCCCAGAATCTCTGGCATTTTAATCCCGATCTCGCCACTCACGCCATCTCTTCTTCTTTAAGGACTGGAAACATTACTGTCTGATGGGTGGTTTTCTCCTGTTATTTCACAGGACATGACACGTAACCACTGATATAACGTTATGGATATCCCTTTAATCGCATCATTTCATTTCTTCATAATATCAACATCGTATATGTTCATTTCCACATTTTATATCCACTGTATATACATTGTATACTGTCTGTATACGTAATCATTAACACCAATTTCAGATTTACATGATTGCAGAAGTCTCTTTTGTTGGATATTTGATAAAGTCAAGCATAGCGCAGTGTATTTTGATTGCACATCGATCAGAGATCAGATGGTGCATATCTTGTCATTTCAGTCATACAGTAGCGGTGGTTGCCTTTATCAGCTGGACATAGAAATAACACGCGACCAAGGACGTACGGTAAGCCATAGTTTTGCCACCTTCTCTAAGTTCTAAGTCCATATGCTATCTGTTTGTTTCTTGAAAATTATATTTCAGGAGGATAGCTTTGACCTTTCCGAATCACTACAACATGGCATGGCTTAGATATTTATTTATTTGATTCGTAATTTAACATAAACTTACCGTGGTGCATGTTACATCCTGCTGTCGTTAGTCCTGACCGATAGCGCGCCATGTTTGCAGTGATGGGAGACATCTTTTGAACGACCCGAAATAACCCGACTGGAATCGTGCAAACATTCCTCGAGTAGTTTGGAAACATGCAGATGAAGCAATGTTAATTCTCCTCCATGTGTAAATACGTGTGTGCCACTTGGTCTGAATGACAATGATCTTATGCAGGCATCCATGCAGACAGTACCGGAGCCGCCCTTGCAAGCAACACCAATATCATTTTGTATACGGGATAAAGGAAAGTAATACAAATAGTTCTCTAATATTCATCATCAAACTAACATGCAACACTGCAACACATTGGTACATGTATCTCCGTATATTTTTGCCTCCCAATTTCGTAAGAATGTGATGCAAGTTGTCTTGGACATTGAAGAACTTTGGCATATGTTTACAATACATACTCCATCTAAATCAGACTCTCCTGTATTCTTTTTCAGGTTGAACGATGCCAAGTACACGTCCTAAAGCAACGGTCAGGATACCGCATGACAGAGAGCAGTTGTCAGGTCCAGGTGGCGGCGCAGTCGTTGAACATGAAAGGACCTGCTGGACCACAACAGGCTTCACTGCAATCTCGCTCTAAAAAATCAGCATCTTTGGCAGCCACCCGGAGATCTCAGTCGAAGCAACAGTCCAGACTTAGCGGTGAGGCGCCACGACAAGGCCGACTTACAGGCTTTACAGTCAGGATGGGTTCTGGCAAGAATCAAGGAGGTACACAAGGATTTGGATCACTGCGACAAGGAAATCAAAAAGCTGGTGGAGCTGGAAGATTTGGATCGTTGCAACAGGGCAACCAGAAAGCAGGGCAACAATTTGGATCGTTGCAACAGGGCAACCAGAAAGCAGGACAACAATTTGGATCGTTGCAAGGTAACCAGAAAGCAGGCCGACAGCAATTTGGATCATTGCAGCAGGGCAACCAGAAAGCTGGCGGAGCCGGAAGGTTTGGATCGTTGCAGCAGGGCAACCAGAAAGCTGGTGGAGCCGGAAGGTTTGGCTCGTTGCAACAGGGCAACCAGAAAGCTGGTGGAGCTGGACAGTTTGGCTCGTTGCAACAGGGCAACCAGAAAGCGGGCCAAGTCGTTGGACCAGCTGACTTTGGTAGGCTCCAACAAGGAAACCAGAAAGCAGGGGGTACAGGGCTCGGTTCTCTGCAGCAAGGCAACCAGAAGGCCGGGGGTGCTGGTTTTGGCTCAATCCAACAAGGGAACCAGAAAGCCGGTGTAGTTGGACCTCCTCAGAACACTGGAAGATACAATGGGTTCGGTGGGAGACAGATACTGCCGGCTTCAGGACTTGATACTACATTTATTCCATATGGTCCCAGCATGGGCTCCGCTCAAGGAAACCAGAAGGCAGGAGGAGCTGGACAAGGCTTTGGTTCTCTGCAGCAAGGAAATCAGAAAGCCGGAGGAGCTGGACAAGGCTTTGGTTCTCTGCAGCAAGGAAATCAGAAGGCCGGAGGGGCTGGACAAGATTTTGGTTCTCTGCAGCAAGGAAATCAGAAAGCCGGAGGGTCTAGACGGGGTTTTGGTTCTCTTCAGCAAGGAAACCAGAAGGCCGGTGGAGCTGGCCGCGGGTTTGGTTCTCTACAACAAGGAAATCAGAAGGCCGGCGGGGCTGGTTCCGACTACGGATCACTGCAGCAAGGTAATCAGAAGGCTGGTGGGCAAGTCTCTGGTTCCATCCAACGAGGGGGCAAGAATTCAGGAGGGTTTCGACAGGGCTCCAGTTCAATCAATCAAGGTAACCAAAAGGCAGGTGGTTCTCGGCAAAATGGAGGATTTGGGGGATATACATCAGGATTCATTGGGCCGATTCTTCCAGCGTCAAGTGGTGGGAGTACTGTAATTTATCCGTCCGGTTCCAGGTACACGGATCAGATCAGGCAGTCCCAGGTGAAGGCAGGCGGCGCCGGTAGAATGAGGTCTCAACAGACCGCCTTCGGTAATAGTCAGAAAAATGGCAGACCGAGCCAATCAAGTTTTGGATACATTGAACAAGTAGGACAGCCTCCTGAAATTATCCGTCCACCGAACTTCAACGCGGGATACCTTTTGAGTTCTCTTAGGTCTCAGCAACCTAAGCAGAGCTACTCCTCATACAGCTATTCCTATGGTAACGGAGGAAAACAGTCAACGTCTTCGAGCTACAGCTATAGCTACAGTTACAGTTACGGGGACCAACCCTCCCTGCCAAGCAAAGACGACTACCCTATGGATGAGTACGGCGCAGCTGCATTCGCCGTTGACAGGATGAACCAGATGACCAGCTTCGATGAGATCTACGTCATGGGTGAACTGACCAACTCCCAAACTCAGGTAAAGAAAGTTTTTCTGCAAAATTACGCGGGCGCTTGGCCTACTAAAAGCATCACTGGATTTATTCTTTCGTCATCACAATATTGGTGACGACGAATTCCGTATTTTTCTTTAGTTAGATAGGACTGTTATAATTAACTTATTGCTGATGATCCTCGAAAACTCACAAACACGAACACAAAAAGGACACTGTTTGAAGTATACATATTCATTTGAAATGCATTTGTAACTTTAAGTTTTTGAAACATTTGTAACCTTGTCATTATGTTTCTGGCTTTTTGCTGACAGACACCAGTTCCGGGGACGACGACGTATGACCTCCACCTGACAATATCACCGACAGCTTGTCCTAGAGACCACAAGGCGTTTGCGTCCGAAATGACGGATCGATGTCCACCTGTAGATGGAAAGGTAATCGTCGTTTTCCAATACGTTGTCACATATCTGCACATTGAAATTGTCTTTGATCACTGGTGCACCGGTTACAGTTTGTTGAAGTGTGTCGAGGCATGTTGACTCAGCATAGAACGGTAGCATTCAATTCTTTCACAGAGAAACCTTACATTATAACCCACAAGAATTTGATTTATCACAAATGCATCCCCAGTGTTTCAGAACTGAGGATTTAAACTCCTTGATCTTTTAAGGAGTTGTCACCACAAATTACAACCAGTACGCATTGCTCTGACTGGTATCGCTGACCGTGCAGGACCATGACCATCGGTGATTGCGATGTCAAGCGACTCTATATACAGTCTCTGCCAAAGCTGCAGAGGACGGGAGATTTACAGATGTTCCTGTTTGCTACGTCATGACATATGGCCTATCTTACTTTCGGCAAACTCCTATATATCGAAGCCTTTGCCCGGTATCCTTTGGCCTGTTTGAACAGTGTCAAAGACAGTAAAGATTGCACAAACCTGTGACTGAATCATTTCCAAGCCGCAACAGACCACCGGTCTTCTGCTTTTGTACAGACGAGAAGGTCGAGATGTTCACAGCCACAGCAGTCTTGAATAACCTTATCGCAGTTTGTTAGACTGAGGTTTGAGAAAATGTTATTCGCTGTACAAATGTATACCTTTACAATGTACTTGCCATGGCAAAATGTTCGCTACTCTTAACATTATCTCTCCTTTCAGAAATATGACTGCAAACTGCGGGTGACTGTGCAGAGTCACCGGGATGGGAAGACCCAGCGGTCCTTGGACGACTCTCGGTGCCGGCAGTTATAGACCGTTCCTTCTGATGTCATCAGGACCGACTGAAGGGACTTGACAATGTACTAGTCAGTGCCAGGAGAGTATGATATCTGTACCTTTCTATATCGCAGGTGCCCAGGTCTCATTTCGCCACAGCTAGGGTTGATGACTTATCAGCTGTGAATCATGATTGTTCTTTCGTCGTAATCTGACGAAAGAAGCTTTTGGTTTTGGATTAAAAAAGTGTTTAACAATAGCTACAATGTAAGGACAAGTGTTAGGGTGACCCGATTGGTGCTATCGATATTGTTAGGCTCCTGCTATCTATACACAGTTTAAGTCGTATTAAGATGATCTAAACGTTACAGAATCTTTAATTAAAGCAGGAGTTTCTATTAGCCGGGTGTAACATAAGGCAGCATTTTCCCTTTAATTGGCTGTGTACATATAAATCATTGAGCAGTCTTACTGGACGATGGCGTAGCGTGCTACGAAGGAATTACTCCGAATGATGACGTGTTGAAAACCATATGATTAAGTTTCTTGAGTAAACGTGTATAAGTCGATTTACATAGTTTTTCGAAGTACAAGTGAATGTACGACAGCATATATATAGGATTAACTTAAGGTACGTGAACAATATTGAGATAGCTTTGATTGTTTATATACCCTGTTTGTACGTTTATAGACCTGGATTTAACATGATATGTAACATCCGTGTCCATAATATCGCCACCTTGAGAAATAGTGTGCTTAAAGATATTCTTGCTGCAACATACTTTTGGTATGCACTCCTGCACACCTCAAATGTACATACCTAGGGTATGTTGCAGTAAAATATCTTTAAGCACACTTTTTCTCAAGGTGTCGATATTATGGACTATGGTGATATTATGGACACAGATGTTAACAGTAATCAGCATAGTAATCTAGACCATCACACGTTACACTATTCTTAAATGCACTGTTGAAGTTCTTGAAACTCTTCTTAGTTTTGAATATTGTTGACGTATGACATTAGGCCGATCGCCGAACTACAGGTGTATTATCTGACGCTGAATGTAGTGACTTTACGTACGGCTTGTTAATGTATGGCATGTTCGGACGTTACGGTTTTTAAATTATTGCACTGATATGTAATCTAGTAAATACATAGTATTACGCCATTATACTCTGTTGAAATCACGTTATTTTAGTGCTGACAACTAAACACCGTCTACCATTTTGATGGAAATTGCTCCAGTTGTCTACAATACACGTGTGTGTGTGTTTACGTTAATACTGGAGGTCCTTTTTTCCACTCTACAAAATACTGTTATCGAAGTCAACCATGTCAACAATAGCACTTCCCTTGACATACACACAAGGCCATGTCCACAATCTGCGATTATACTTCACCCCTAGGCCTGTTGTAATTTCGTGTAAATAGCAAACATTCCACATGTGAATATTACTGAGTTCTAAACCATTTGCGAGAAGACGGGCTATGTTTGCAAAAGAGCGCCTTGTTCCGCTGATAATTTATTTTTGTCTTCCGACAACATACAGTGGAGTTATCAGCAAACAGGCTGACGGTTAAGTTAAACACAAACATAGATCCAGGCCGAGGGAAAGTACCTGGACCCAGGCCAACGCATGAAGGAGCAAGATGGGTATCAAACACTCTCCTCAACACTCTTCGTTTCAGAGAAACCTTGGGTTTGAAAAAAAAAGACTCAAGAATGATGAGATAGACTTACGAAACGAATGGTGTTGCTGTTGACGAAGCGACCCACCAGGGACAGTGAGACACCAGCTGACAAGTGTGTGTCGCCTGCAGATATCCAGACAACTTACTAAATATAAAGTAAGTTATCTGATATCAGCATAGTAAGAAACAGGTGGCCGCTGAGGTTCACAAATAAGAGTGCGCATGTCCAGTGTCAAAGGTGAAGGTAAGTAAGCCCCGTGCCAGCGTGGAAATGCAAAACAAAAACATAGAAATGCAAATATTTGACGCGTTTTGTTTACACTGGGCATATTGATGAGCCCCCTTTAGTTATTGGTGGCCGCCTGTCACAAGGTTTAGTCAGTGGCTTGTTCATGTTCGCCACGCCCCGTTAGTTGAAATATGTGGCTATTAATTGTGGTATATATTTTCTACTACATCCTTCATCAGGGAAGATAGACTCATATTGCTATGTGTTAACTGCACTTTAACAAGATACTTTCATCAAGGACAATTTTTTGTATTTCCCCTATTCCATCCTTCTATCCATCTGACCCATCCTTAAGAAACATAATGTGATCAAATATTACAGACAAACGTGGATAAACAGGACAAGTCTTTTAATATGAACCACCAAAAACACTGAAAACACAGTTCATACACATGCCATCCCTCTCCTTCCCTCTACTGACTTCACCTAAAATATCACCTGCAACTGAAACTCTGACCATTGAAGGACTTTTGGTCCAAAGTTGGTGTGATGCCATAATCTACACCAAAATACATGGCATGTTATTGTCAAACCAATTAGCCATGGATGGATGTCAAATGAGCATCTAAATGGTTTACGGCTAAATAAAAAAAAATAGTTGCAGGATTTTGTTTTGTTTTGTTCTGCTAAAGCAGCATCCTCATTACAATATAACTAGCTAACACAACAATTGTACATGGTCGTGTCATCATGTTTGTACACGATGTACATGTGTTGTGGGGTAATATTATAGTGCAGAATAATGACTTTCTTATTGCACATCGTTGCTTTAGTATGAACCTGTTTACAAGAAGCTGACAACATCAAATCTCTGTCATCATCACATTCATAGGAAGTTACATGTACATAGCAACAATGAGTCATGGCACGGTCGCATTCATTGTAGGTCATTGTATGATTTTGATGTCACAGTGTTTATAAGAAGGCTTTGACAGATCTAGGACCAACTGCCCTGAAGTATCTAAGGCAGCTTCTTCTGTAACAAGACAGCTGAATTTTGCAGGACTATTCCAAGAGTGCTCTAAAAGTTTGCAATATCCTACAACAATCACACAATGCATGTGACCAGTCTCCTTACTAACTACACTACATACTTGTCTCATCTGGTGTACTCTTACTCACAGGATGGAAATTGTGCCAACATCACAGTACAGTACAGTCAACATTAACATTATTATAATCTCTTATCATAGATTTGTACATATAGTCCCTGTCTCATATACAATCTGCATCAAAAATATAATGTGTCACCACCACCAGCAATGCTGCCACCACCAGTAACCTCTCCTGTTGATTTCTAAGTTCTTCTTTCGCTTATGGCCATTATTTATCAATCAATCAATCAAACTTGAATGTCCTAATATGTATACATATAAGTCAGCCAGACTTTGTCAGATTCCACTTCCACACTTCTGTACTTTATCTAATGTCAAATAAGTCACTAAAATTATACAAACTTCACTGTCAAGTCACTGTTGTTGTGAAACAATCTTACCAACTGAAGAACAACACTTTCTACCTTGTGCATCACAAAGGGTACTCAACGCTGTCCCTCTGGCAATGAAAAATTACTCTTTGCAGTTTCCACATTGAATATTGTGACAGCACAATGCTATGGCTCAAGCTCACTGGCTAAGTACAAATTCAGAAAAATATCTTATGTACAGGATACAGTGCCTTTACCTAACACACAGTCTACATCTATTACACTAATATCTAGTGAGAAACTCACTTCTTGTATGTCATTCTACACAAGATTGACCGATTTTCTACCTTGATCACTACCTCTGAAGTTCATGTGTCATCACAATAGATAAAATCCTTCATATAAAGTTCTCATATGTTGTCATGCCATGGCCAAGAATATCAAGTGTGCATCAGCACAGATAGAACTGTGCATGGTCATTTTATTTATCATGGCTTTTTCTAAAGCTCCTGATCCACTGTTCTGTTTCCTTGAGTTCCATACCTAGAAAACAATCACTCAGCACTAAACATTGGCAATATCACAGTCATTACAACTTCCTGACACAATTCCTCATACATGTGCCTGGTGTTACATTACGTGTATCTTGTAACAGTTGGACACTACAAATACCAAGCAGACTGCACATTAAGAATAAGCGCTTAAATCTAAAGTTTCCCAATCAATTAACACACAATCATATTCATCTCCAATGTTAGAATTAATCTTTTTCTTAACTATACCTGGTTACCACTTCAGTACTGGTGTCCACTTATAATGTTTAAGATCACAAAATCTTACAACAGCCTATTTCGACCAATTTCATACATCACAGTTTAAAATCTTATTCTACTATATATAATTTATAGACAACAATTGACAAATTACCTACTAGATAAATACATAAAACAGTATTCTTGTCCTTTATATACATGTACATCAAGACTAGTGTAAAGAACATATGCCATTAAACTTTCAGTTTTTTTTCTGGTAACAGGTTACTCTAACTTGCAACCTGGTCAGATTGTCATCTAAAATATGTGCTGCAGTTCTCAGGCCCTGCTGATTTGAGTGTAAGCAGCCAACTTGTGAGCTAGTCCACTGTACAATTCGTACTGCCTCCTAGAGGCTCTCATTCCATTAAATGTCCTTGTTGCTCATTAGCACTTCATCATAAATACTAATCAAGAACAGGCTGTCCAACAGGGTGTACAAACAGTGCAAACAGATGCAGCATCATTCCTACATCCTACCATGGAGGTTTCAACCTCCTTGATCCTACTCATAGCAGAATACCAACAAGCACTGTGCCCATAGCATGAGGATACAGGCTGCCAGGATTGCTACCCATTGTGAAGACTGGTAATGCCACTGACATCAACACACAATGGAATGCATTCTGACTGAGGTTCACTCTGACTGTTACCTTCCTTCTTGCTGGATGTGAACTGATGCAATGCATGTTGCAAAATTACTGTAATTTCTACCTATACTCACTACTACCTGCAGCAACAATAACAGTACACAGCATTTCATTTATACATAACAACACTTAACACTATGTAAATACAACATGTACTACTAAACAAAAACAGGACTAATCATTAAATCAGCAACATTCCAGATAACAAAAGAAAAGCATTATCAAAGTTGAACAGAATGTAATTCTGACCAAACATAATGTTCAATGTCATGTCATGTACATCTTACATGTACAGATAACAACACTTTTAAATTCAAGAGTTGGCTGAGTTTTACCAATAAGTACAGACACAACAGCTCATAAACTTGGCAGCTTCTTTGCCAAGTTGACATTATCCATCTACCTGTTCTTGAGTGCTTGTAATGTTACATGAATGCCCTGGCTAGGCAAGCATGTTAACAAGACTGTGGAGAAACAGTCACATTGTCCAGGCTGAGGCCCGAATCTCTGTTGTTACTCTCCTCAGACATTGAACTGAGTGACCGCTGGCGGGCGAGGTTGCTCACCAAGTCTGCATCCGTGCCAAACCCGGAGTCATCTGCTGAGGCACTGGTCTCCAGCACACTGCGGTTGGGCTCTCCCACCCGGCCTGACACTGTCTCAACACCCACATCACAGCTGTTGTATGTTGGGTTCCACAGGTTTGTCGGCTTAGCCTTTTTGCTGCCTTTCTTCACACTTCCCTGGTCCTTTCCCTTGTCCTTCTTCTTCTCCTTCTTGGACTTCTCTTTCCTCTCCAGAGTGCTGACCGGTGAGTTGGAGGTGCTCTGGCTTCCCGACCTGACCAGGAGTCCCTCCCTCCAGGACCGCCCGTGGGTGCCGCCAGGGCTGCTCTCCAACTGTTCCACCTGGGTAGGACTCTGGCTCCTCTGGGCGGGGCTGCCTCTTGCGATGGGAGCTTCTTGTGGGGTGCTGTTCTGGTTCTGATTGGTGTTAGCCACGGGGGCATCAGCGGCGGCAGCACTGCCAGCTCCCTGTGGTGGGGCGGATGCAGCCTGGGCTTGTGCAGTTTGGGCTGGATCTGTCAGGGGGCGGTGCACCTGCAGGGGAGTCATGTTCTGGTGGTTGTCAGGGCGGACAATGGTGTGGTTCTCCTCCTCAGGAACAAGGTCACACACAGGCAGGCTGGTGTTGATGACATCTGGATCCTGTGTGTCAAAAGAAGGCTTTTCCTCATCAATATCCTTATAATTAGATATGAATTGGGATTTATAACTTCCATGAACAGCGCATTTCTCTTACAACAGCAGCTGCTCTCCCCAACTGCACTCTTCTATCACACCTATTTGGGAACCCTGGACATGCACCTGCACACAAAAATGGCTTTGTGACCATAGCTGGTGTGGTTAAAAATTAGTAGTATAGTGGTGTAAATGATGGGCAGGTATGTTCCCAGGCAAATATCCAGTTCTACAAGAGCTCAGTAAATTTGGTGGTTCACTGTCAATCTTCGGGACCATACTGTTGATAATTACCAACTCAACAAATGCAAATTAACAGTTTGTACATTGGTCCAGAGTTCTCTTTCCAGACAATGTAAGAGGTGACTTACACTCACCTGTGTGCAGTAACCCAGTCGCTCCAGGACGGTGGAGAAGCAGGGTCGGTCCTCCGGGTTCTGCTGCCAGCACTGGGTCATGATTCTGTACCTGTAGGACACAGTCAGACTTCAATCACAATGTTTCTTTTATCATAGATCTCATTTAATATCAATAATTCTAGCAATCTGCAGGGTAACTAAAAACAAGGCTTGCACAGATGCAACCATAAAAACTGTGGTGATGAGGCCTTCTCAAGAATGTCTTGAACTGGATATCTGAAGATCTCTGAAGTGTGCATATCATGGGGATTACTGAGGCTGCAAGCTCTATATATGCACTGTTTTTATGTAGCCGTCTTAGACTACCTGGGGAACTATGAGAGCAGACCCAAAGCTTTGAACTCAGGATCCTGTTTATTCACTGATTGGTGGCGAGACATATGGTTACTGCACAAAGATCCACTGTATGGCTGTTGCCGTCTTTACAGCAAACTTGACTGCTTTTTAGTGTGATCCATGTCACGATTCAATCTCCAGTTACTGTCTGATCGAGGTTGTGAAGTCTAGAGGAACATAAAACAAGGCTTCCACAGATGCAACCATAAGAATCTAATTTACATCAGCTTCAATTAAGCAGTGCCCCTCTCTCTTTTGAATTCTGGTAAAGTCTGGTGAACATTTCTGGCACAATAGTGGATCTTTGGGACCCCCGGGGATCAAAGTGATTAATTGGCTGCCGGGACCTCCGGTACTCTCCGCGGCCTCAGTCTGTTGCCGCGGGGCCAGGGGCAAGTCACAAGCAATTTATTGCATTAATATTCATACAATGTATTCCCAAGAATCCACCTGGCATTACATGTAACATGTCTTACCAGATCCACTAATGGTCTATCGACTTGCACCACTCTGCAGTCATAAAAATTGGTTTGACTTACAAAGCCGTTGGCAGTATTAAAAATGGAATGCAATCACAGAAAGCTTTCTACTGTCAGATCCCCAAATGGCACAGGTTTTCATTGGCCCTAATAAGTAACCATGGGTGACACAATGGTCACAAGTTTCCCACAGTTAAAAGGCTAAAGGTTAACTTACACTGGTCCAGGGCAGCTGCGAGGTGGGTCCATTCTGCCTCCCTCAGTCACAAACTGCATGACCTCCTGGTTGCTCTTGCCTGGATATGGCATGTATCCCAGGGACATCACTTCCCATAGCAAAACTCCAAAGGACCTATATAATAATATTATATACACAAGGGTAGAATTTAAAGTTAAGAAGCCATCCAATATTATTCTGTGTGGTCTTAGCTTACAGCTTTAAACAAAAGCCTTTCATCAATTTATGGCAATTTTCCTCATTTTCTGCACTTACATCATTTCTAGAATTGTTGAAACCTACCACACATCAGTTTTGGTGGTGAAGACTCCATCAAGGAAGGCCTCTGGAGGCATCCACTTCACCGGCAGCATGGCTCTTCCACCTTTTCTGTAGTAGTTGGACCTTGGGAAATTCCACCAAAACAATTTGTTGTGTTACATGGATGTCAATGGCATCTGTTAATTGAAATTGATAGGTCAGAAATGTCAAGTCAGTGAACTTAGAGCACCCTTGATGGCCTTACAGAGATGGCAAGTCCATTTATACTGATTGATAATTCACTAAAATTGATAGAGAAGGACAGAGACAACAAAACACTCAAAAGTTTATTTTATAAGAGCTCTTACTTAACAGAGCATCAATGAAATCTCTCCTACCTGTAGATGTCTCTGGCCATTCCAAAGTCTCCAATTTTTGCCATACGGTCTGCTCCAGTTTTTGTGGTCAGAAGAATGTTCCTACAGGCAATGTCTCTGTGAAACAGTCACAAGAACATTACCTCCAGAAAATTGTTGTGAACATTATGCATTATTATGTACTTTCCAGAGGTTTGGAGGTTTTCAAACTTTTACCCTTATAAAGGCAGGGGGTAGTTTGTAACAATTGTTTAATGAATAGAGATAATAGAGCACTGCATGTCTGTCAGAAATTGATATAATTATTAATAGTAACCTTCACCGATGTATTAATATTAGTTCTCTTACTGAGAGCACAATGCTGGTAGCTACTTATAACTGTCCTAGAGTCATAACGTTACAAGTTGTGATGACAACATGGGGCACTTTGACAGCATACACCAAAGGGTAAGACCTTAATGGGAACATTTGAGAAGTGCCCTCTTAAGCTCTTGACATCTGACATTCATGAACCATTTAAAGTTACCTTTAAAGGTTGTTTTTAAGATGTGTGCTCTTGAGACAACACTGATGGCTTAAAAGCAGACATCTTACAGTTTTCATTGAACCCCTTACATACACTGTGTACATTGTACGATGCAACTACAATGTTTTATACCCGATTGCTGTACATTGTAGGTTTGAGAAGAAATGGATGCAATATTTTAACTTATCACTATTGCACCTGTTTCTTTGAAAATCATTATCATGCATTGCACAATGTATGTTACAGTGGCTTAAGATCTTTCTGTGCTACCTTTGATTGAACTTTCTTTGAAGTATACCAATTGCCCATCATCTACCGAGAAGGAAGGAGGCCGATGACGACCAGTTATATATAATTACTTGCAACAAGAAGCAGCAATTCAAGTATCAAAGATGGATAAATTTATGTGTCCAGCAGCGTTTTGCAGCTTGCACAACATTTGACCAAGGTGTTAGTCGTCTGACTGTCTGACTGCTCACCTGTGGATGAAATGGTTTTCCTCCAGGTAGTGACAGCCGCGTGCCACATCCTTGGCCAGCTCCAGAAGATCCATCATAGTCAGCTTGGAGGGATGTCCCTAGAATAGCAATTGATCTTGTTGATATTCAAAGAAATATTTTGCTTGCCGTTTGGAATTTCCACCCAATGACAAACAACATGGTACCACCAGCTGTTACAAATTCTAAACAAGAGTTCTGAGATCTCATACCTCCATGAAATATGGGCTTGCTTTGTCATACTTCATTTCAAAATGTCCTCATTAATTATGCAAATAACCTCTATATTAACATAATATATGCATAGTGGTGCTAACCTTTAACTTACACATGTCACAAGGTATAAAATTCCCATCATTCACCAATAAGGAGTCACAAAATTTTCACATCAATTATGCAAATTAGGTAATCATTTGCATAATTATTATCTGTTGATGTTCCGCCTGCCACAGATTAAATAGATTACATGTATAGCAGTACCATTATATAAAGCACTGTAATTATAGAATTTCCTCATTAATTATGCAAATTAAGTCCTCATTTGCAAAATTTGCATTTGATTATGTACAACTCTCTCTCAGGTACCCACACACCAAAAATGATGAAAATACGTTGTTCCAATCTGGACTTATTGGCTTTGAAAGTTTTTACCAGAAACTAACCTGCAGTTCCAGAACAAGCTGCTAGGGAGACCAAACTTACGGTTCCGGGTCGGAGTTTAATTCTGACCAGAGTCTAAGTAAGTGCGCAGTAAATCGCCAGAAACGTGACTTTGTATGGTATGTTTTGGCCGCGATATCCCTGAAATCGTAATATCTGTGTACATATCTTTGTATTTTCTGAAAAGCCTGTTAGTTGTAGCCTTTATAGGTGGTGTTATGTTGGTGGTCCAGCGAAGACTTCCTGGTATCAGTCCGCGCGGATGGTTATGTGGCGTTTTCGCCTGACCGCCGGGATGGTACGTTCTATATGCGTTGAGGGTGTGTTCGGGCCATCGAAGATAGCGATAAACTTATCGCATCGATTTTGATTAAATTTAAATTTTGGAAACACTAGGTTCTGAGCTTCTTCGAGTACTAAGCCGTTACCCTGGGAAAATTTGTTTTTTCCATGCAGCCATGGTTAAAAATGACGAAAAAAATGACCCCTTATTTAAAAATGTACTTTGATGTGCCTTATTTACCCCTAAATAAATTGGGCGCAGAAAATATCAATGAAGTGTATTGATAAGCGGCACGGCACCCCTTTCCACCAAAAGAGTGAAAAATTCCCACCCGCGTTTAGTACAGAAATGACAGCCCGTCGGGCTGAGGGTGTCAAATTGCTCGAAATACGGAGGGAAACTCCGGTCCGAGACCTTAACAAGACGGCGCATGCGCAGAAAATGACGTCATCGATGACATAAATTTGATTAATTTTAATGTTTCCAGCCGAAGCTGTCAGATTCTGCGAAAAAAAACGCATCATTCTACTGTTTTTGGGGTCCAAAAAGTCCGGATATACATGTCGGGTCCTAGGCGCCCCCCT